CTCCTTACAGTTTAAGTTGCAACAATAGTGACTAACAAAAGCTATTCCATCTCCAACAAATCCTCTCACCACTACTCCACCATAAGCATGTGTCTCACTTGACTTCCATTATAAAAAGGCAATATAAATAAGTTTCTATATGTATATTTTAAACGAACATATTACAAAATAGATCCCTTTAGCCTTTTATCATTGGTGGGATTAAGTTTTTAATCGTTCAAAGCCATGCAACCAAGTTAATAAATCTATTACCCTATGTTGTCATAATTGATTATATAAAAATGAATTTTATACATCAATGTGTTAACAACTTTTTGATTTGAATAAAATTCAGTATATATGAATAAAAGTATAGTTTATCTAAATAAGACATCTCAAGCCTAAATTCCGCACTTAATTATAATTTTCAAACTACGTAAAAGCACTTGTAAAGGCAACATACCATTATTAGTTGAAAAGCATTTTGAAACCTTAGTACACGTTACTGAATCAAAATGAATTCTAAAAGCCAGTAAACTGAAACTTATCTAACTTAAGTGCAAATTAAAACTCACTCAGATTAAGAAAAACAAACATACAAAACTCAATATCCTAATTTTTTTTTATCATTTCCACTGCATGGCAAAATTTGTTTCTGATGATTAGCACATTTCAAAGCCCCGAATCTAATTCCTTTCGAAGTTTTTTTTTCTTGCGATAACTAAGCAAAACAAAAGAAAAAGAATGATGTATTCCACCACCCACCACCATAGCACCATGTGATAAGAAATGAAAGAAAAATAGAATAAAAAAAATATGTACGTAACTCACCTATCCATCACCCACCACCACATCAATTATCGAATGCCTCTTTCAAGTATACGAAGTTAAATTCATAAGTTAATTTAATTAAAAATAATGGATGAAAATTAAACCCATAAATTAGTTTATATAATATAAGTTTATAATTTAAATCAATAATTAGCAATCAAACTTTAATCAAACACCCAAAAATAATTAACAATAACATTAGTTAAATTTTAATTATTCACAATTAATTATTTTTAAAGCATACTAAAAGTCACAAGGAAATCAATATTCAAAAATATTAATATTAAAAAACTAAAAGTTTCAATAAATTTTAACAAATATTGATTTTAAAGAACATAAATAGAAAAAAATTAAAAGTCAGAAATCCATAAAAAATTAAGCAATCAAAAGTCTATTGTAATAAAAAATTATAAATTACAAGAAAATCATTAATAAAAAACATTAAAAGTTTTAATAAATTTAACAAATAATGATTTTAAAAAACATAAATAGAAAAAAATAAAATGTCAAAAATTCATAAAAAAAAGTTAGGCAACTAAAAGTTTATTGTGATGAAAAATCATAAATCCCAAGAAAATCAATGGTCAAAGACACTAATATTAGAAAACTAAAAGTTTCAATAAATTTTAACAAACAACGATTTTAAAGAACATAAATAAAAAAAATCAAAAGTTAGAAATCTAAAAATCCATAAAAAAAAATTAAGTAACCAAAAATTTATTGTGTTTCATAAAATAAAATTAGGAGATATAGGTTTAAAATTTATGTAAAAAGACTTGGCATTTATTACAGCTCGTAAATTACAAGAAAATAAATAGTAAGAAACACTAAAAGTTTCAACAAGTTTTAACAAATTATGATTTTAAAGAACATAAATAGAAGAAAATTAAAAGTTAGAAATCCATAAAATGTTAGGCAACCAAAAATTTATTTTGATGAAAAATCATAAATCACAAAAAAATCAAAAAAATTAATAATAGAAAACTAAAAGTTCAATAAAATTTAACGAATAACATTTTTAAAGAATATAAATAGAAGAGAATCAGAAGTTTGGAATCTATAAAAAAATTAAGTAATCAAAAGTTTATTGTGTTTAATATAATAAAATTAGGAGATATAGGTTTAAAATTTATGTACTGATTTTAAAGAACATAAATAGAAAAAAAAATCAAAAGTCATAAATTTATAAAATAGTTAGGCAACCAAAAGTCTATTGCGATAAAAAATCATAAATCACAAGAAAATCAATAGTCAAAAACACTAATATTAGAAAAATAAAAGTTTCAATAAATTTTAAATAACAATTATGAAGAACGTAAATAAAATTAAAAATTAAAAATCAGAAATCCATAAAAAAATTAGGTAACCAATATGTTTAATATGAAAAAGTTAGGAGATATAGGTTTAAAATTTACATAAAAAGATTTGGCATTTATTACAAATCATAAATCACAAGAAAATCAATAGTCAAAAAAACTAAAAATTTTAATAAATTTTAACAAATAATAATTTTAAAGAACCTAAATAGAGAAAAACCAAAAGTCAGAAATTCATAAAAGAAATTAGATAACTAAAATTCTATTGTGTTTAATATAATAAAATTAGGATTATAGGTTTAAAATTTATATAAAAAATTTGGCATTTATTATAAAATATTTAAATAATATATATATATATGATTGTACAAACAGCTGGTCAATTAGAACAGTCGGAATACAGGCATTCTACATGTTTGAATTTGATCAAATGCAGAGACATTGAATCTCTCTGACATTAATATAAATTAATGCCAGAGAATATATAATTAATAAATTATTACAGACAAAGAAATAATTTTCAACTCTTTGCCTAACAGATTGATTAAACTTCTGCCTAGATGATTCAAGAAGCAAGACGAGTGCTTAATATCACATAATTCACAATCTCTCACCTCTTTATTTATAAATGCTGATTTTCATTTATTAGTTCCTAGAAATTTAACATAGATCAGAGAATGAAAACTCTTGAAGATAGTCGTGTATTTCCTTCACCAGGTTCAGTTCCTACAACTTCTCTTCCTCTAACCTTCTTTGATATACACTGGTTTGGTTCTTCTCCCATGCAACGCCTGCTTTTCTATGATTTCCCATACCCTTCCCTGTATTTCATGCAAATCACTCTCCCCAATCTCAAATCATCTCTCTCACTCACTCTGCAACACTTCTATCCTCTTGCATGCAATCTTGTGCTCCCTCCACCCCCCCAAAGGCCTTATATTCACTTCAAAGAGGCTGATTCTGTTCCGTTTATCGCCAAAGAATCAACAGCAGATTTCAGTTATCTCATAGGAGATCATGCACGATAGATTGAAGAGTTGCAAGCTCTTCTCCCGAAATTGCAACCGGCTAGTACGTGCTCAAATGGCATGCAGAAGCCTCTCATGGCCATTCAGGTTAGTGTATTTCCAAAGGCAGGCATTTCCATAGGTGTTACGTTTAACCATGCTGCAGCTGATGGTCGGGCGTTTATTCATTTTATGAAATCATGGGCATCTGCTAATCTATCTCAAGGGGATCATTTGAATTTTCTTAACAAGTCTCTACCCGATTACAACAGGGGCTTGATCAAAGATCCACTGGGGCTAGCATCCATATTCATGAAGGATATGTGGAATTGAGAGGATGTGGACAACATTCCATCTGACAAGTATCGGGTTACTTTTGTCATCAAACGATCCCAGGTTGAGTTATTGAAGAAATGGGTTACAAAAAAGTTCATGGAAGAAAATGGATCGGAGTCGACATTAAGGGTGTCAACATTTGTCGTAACATGTGCTTACATGTGGGTTTGTTTGGTCAAATTAAAAGAAAATGGAACACATGATCTTTCATCAGACGATAGTGATTGCTATTTCATTTTCGTAGCAGATTGTAGAGACCGCCTCAAATTGCCTGCAACATACTTCGGGAACTGCCTTGAGCCACGTTTCGCAGCAGCTAAGAAGGGTGACCTGCTTAACGAGAATGGGATTCTTGTGGCTGCAAAGGCCATTGAAAAAGAAATCATGGAATTGGATAAAGAAGCATTGAGAGGCAGAGAAATGGCTATCAAAGTCAAAGGAAATATTCAAATATGGCGGCCATGGTATAACCATAGCTGCATCACCAAAATTGGGAGTGTATGGGATAGATTTTGGGTGGGGAAGACCAAGAAAAACTGAGGTGGCTCACATTGGTTCTTTTGGATCTATTGCCATGGCTGAGAGTAGAGAAGAGGCAGCTGGTATTGAATTTGGCTTAGCACTTTCACAACATGAATTGGATAGCTTCAAAGCTGTTTTTGAGTGAGGCTTGTTTGACTTGTAATAGAATTAATAAAAAATTTGGCAATATAAAACTATAGTTCCCTAGTTTTGTTTGAAGGAAAAACAAAATAAACAGAATGTCATTATATTATCAAATTAAAATATGTATGCAGAAGAACAAGATTAATCCCATTGATCATGGAATCTTGGATTTTGCTTTTTTTTTTAATGATTTTAAGAGTACCCTTGTATATGTCTTCATGATACATTTTGGATTGACATCTTTGACACCAATGCAACTTAGTTAAGTTAATATTTTTATTTATTTTATTAAGGTTGATGAGCAATTGTCTTGTCAGTACAAGTAAATTACCTTCCATCCAAATTTTTTCATATTTATTTTTTAGGCGTTTTAAAATCATATCATTTTTTAATATCTATTTTTTTTTTACATTTTAAAATTATATCTTTCATGATTTTTTTTTTATTTTGAACTTTAAAAATAATGAAACATCAATTTTCTATAAATATATTAGATTTTAATACAAATGTTTTTATATTAAAATTTTTTAAATTGATCTTTCAAATTTTTAATGTCAAAATATAAAAATCATTAAAAATATTTTTCTAATATAAAAAGTTATGAATAACTCTTTTATAATTTTAAGATATTTTAAAAAATAAACAAATAAATTTAAACAAAAAGGACTACAAAATATAAACAAAACAAAGTTTGATGCTTCTAAATTTCTCGAGCGGTGGGCAGTGGACTAGCAGTGGCACAAAACCCAATACCCCGTTTCATGCACCGTTTCTTCGATAAACGTGACTCCCATTTTTAATTGTTTTATTTTAGCTTGTCTGAACAAATATTGATCTGGATCACTGCCTATCTCCAAACACAAACATGGCTCAGAATTGCTTAATCAATGTTCTTGAAGATAGCCATGTTTCTCCACCACCAGGCTCTGTTCCTACAACCTCAATCCCTCTTACTTTCTTTGACACCATGTGGGTTTCTTGTTGCCATATGCAACGCCTTTTCTTCTATGAATTCCCATATCCAACTTCCCATTTCATGCAAAACTCGCTCCCCAACCTCAAAAACTCACTATCCCTTGCTCTGCAACATTTCTTCCCTTTTGCAGGTAATCTCAAGTGGCCCCCCCGTCCTCAAAGGCCTTATATTCAGTATACAGACGGTGATTCTGTCCTCTTTGTTGTCACTGAATCCACAGCAGAGTTTAAGCATCTCACAGGCAACGGTCAGATTCCACGACGTGGTCACGAATTAGAAGATCTCGTCCCGAAGTTGGCACCGCCAAGTATGTGCTCTGATGGCGACAGTTTTTGCAAGCAGCAGCCTCTGATGGCTATCCAAGTCAGTATCTTTCCTTATGTTGGAATTTCAATCGGTGTTACCTTTTGTCATGTTGCAGCTGATGGGAAGGCTTTTGGTCATTTCACCAAGTCATGGGCATCTATTTGTAGGTCAGAAGGGGACTTAACTTTTGTTGACAATTACCCACCTGATTACAGCAGGGATTTGATTCAAGATCCTAGAGGTATTTGGTCCATTTTTCTCAAGGAAATGTCTAATGCAGAGACTTCGACAAGAATGAATCGAAATGACAATGTTCGAATCACGCCTGTAATCAGCAAAACCCAAGTTGAGATGTTGAAAAAATGGATTGCAAGAAAGTTTGTGGAAGAAAATGAGAAGCAGGATCCACCAAGATTGTCAACATTTGTGGTAACCACTGCTGTCATGTGGGTTTGTTTGATCAAATTGCATCTAAGTAAAAAAACTCCTGATAATGGGATTTGCCGATTCCTTTTTCCAGCTGATTGTAGAGACCGGCTGAGATTACCCAAAACTTATTTTGGAAACTGCCTAACGCCATGTATTGCAACAGCCAGAAGAAATGAACTAACTGGAGAAAATGGGATTTTTGTGGCTGCAAACGCCATTGGAAGAGAAATTCAGGAATTCGAGAAAGAACCATTGAAAGGGATAGAGAATTGGATTTCAAGTGCAAAGGAAGTGCTCAAAGAATGCGAGCACCTTGTATCACTTGCCGGATCACCAAAACTGAGAGTTTACGAAACAGAATTTGGTTTCGGGCGACCAACAAAGAGTGAAGTCGTTCATATTGGTTCCCGTGGATCGATTTCAATTTCTGAGAGTAGGGATGGCGAAGGTGCTGTCGAATTTGGCTTATCACTTGCTCCCTATGAATTTCACAAATTCAATGCTATTTTTGAGCAATTTCCTTTTAATTGAGATTGTTCGAGCATGATCCTTAATCATTAGACTTTAAATTAAGAATCTAATACCAACCAACTACATAGCTGCCGGCAATATGTATTGAACCTGTGACAAGTTGTTCCGACGATGGAGCAGTTGTTTTGTACATTTGCTTCATTTCAATGTATTTGTTTTTTCAATTGCTTATTGATTTTGAGTATTTTTTGCATATTGATTGCGCTTAGACAGTTGTTGGAGCGGTTGAAGTTTATATTAATGTACGCGTTTTACAAGAGGGATAAAATTTATATAAAATTTTTAAAGTGAAGTTTATAAAAAAGTTTTTAAATAATTTAATAAAAAATTCAAATTGATTAATAGAGTAAAATATAAAAATTAATAATATGTAAAAAAATTATTAAAATTAGTATTTATATTTAAATTTGATTGATATTATTAATAATAAAATTTTTTCAATATTTTTACTAACAATATTTATCTAAAATTATATATCAAAATTTATTATTATTTTTTTAAATTTACATCTATATAATAAGATTTTTCAATTTATGAATTTTTATTTTTAATTTTAAGTTTTATTTAATATTTTTATAAATAATTTTATGAATTTCACCTAAAAAAATTTATCTAAAATTTTCCATTTACAAAAATTGAGTGAAGATTAGTTTTTTTATTTCATTGTATCATTTTATATTATCTATTGAGTTAGAATTATTTTTAGTTATAAAATATAAAATAAAAATGCTTTTATAATTAGTTAGCTAGAAATAAATCAACCTTTAAAATGAAGTTTAGAATTTTTATTAAAGGAGTTTGATATGTGAGTTTGCCAAAAAAATGTAGAATTGGATTTTCAATGGATTTTATGATGTAAAATTTCATATTATCCATTTTTATTAATGTTTTGAATTAAAATATTATTTTATTTACAATATAAGATGTTAATAGTACAACTTAATAATTCTCCTGCTCTTTAACTCTTTTTTTTTTTTATATTTCTCAAACTATTTTATTAATTGTCATGCTTTATGTACATGATTTTATTTATTTATACTACTTTTTTTTTTCATTTATCACTTAATCCTCCATCATCATTAGGAAATTTTCATTTATCCAAAGGGAAAAATGAGTATAAATACTAGAAAATCTACATGATCTACATGGTTTTCTCTTAAAATATGTCTAATTTCTTTAATAAGATTTTTTTTTTTTGGAAATAAATGACAATTTTTATTTTATCCGAGCAACCAAATATAATAACCTACTACAAAAATATTGTAAAAAAAAAAAAACCTATACAGCCAATACATCAGTGTCAATTATGAAAATAAATTATTTACAAATCAGTATCATTAATTCTCCAACAACCATCAAGAAGAAAGATATCATGTATAATTATTATAATATAATTATTCAATCATAATTTAAAATTATAAGAGATTTATATAAATTTTATATGAAATTAATATTTATAAGTAGTGGTCTTATACATAATTATTTATTATAATTAAATAATTATATGATTGTAGTAAAAAAATTAAGTGAAATACATCCGATAGAGAAAGTTTGTTTATCCTTAATTTAACGGTTGTGAAAGCTCGAGTATTTTTTTCAACGGTTGTGAGAAAGCTTGCGAGCAAGTTTTCTTATCCACAAATGGCACAACCTTGTTCCGTCATGGTTATTCAACAGAGAAAAATTTTAAACGAAATTTGTAAAATATTTTATTAGAAATAATTAAATAAAAATTAAAAAACTCTGTATTATCCCATGCACCGCCTTTTATTTTATGAATTCCCACACCCAACTTTCCATTCCATCCAAACCGCTCTCCTCAAAAAATCACCCTGCAACAATTCGCCCTTTTTGCTTGGCAAAATCAAGTTGCCTCCTTCTCCTCAAAGGCCTTATATTTAACTTCGAATATAATTTTTTAAGTTTGGAGTAATTTAGTCCTACCCGAAATATTATTATTGTCATAATGTCTAGATTCGAAGATTTATCGTTTGACATTAACTTTAAAGAGTTACTGTCAATTTTTTTTGTTTAGGTACGATTATCCTTTCAAAAAACACTTAAGCTTAAGGGTTTAAAAAGAACAGATCCGGGTCTACTAAACAGAATAGGATTCAAGAATACGGTTATGTGTGAAGAAGATTATAGCACCCTCACAACGCTCATCGAAAAATAGTACCAACTTAATTTCATGTTATCCAAAAGACCTTAAAAATTTTACCAAGTAATTATTTTTTTGAAAATTATTCTTAATTGACTTTAATACTTTGGTAAAAAATTAAGAAAATTCTCTCACCTCAAGAGTATGCAAAAAAACTATTGTTTCACTTACAAATACTCCATTGTTGGATTATTTAATATAAAAATTTTAAGAAAGAAAAGGAAAAGAAGATAAAAACTTAATTTTAGATATAAATCTTTTTCTTTAAAAAAAAAAAAAAAAAAACTCATTTGCTTTTGTAAAAGGAAAATTAATACTTTCAATTTTTTCTCAAAAATATTTTTCTTGTTAAACTTTTTTAAGGAAAATTGGTACTTCTAATTTTTCCTCAAAATGTTCTTTTTTTTTAAATTTAATTTCAAAGAAAAATTGATACTTTCAACTTTTTCCTAAAAATATTTTTAAAATTTTTTTATCTTCAAGTGAAATTGATACTTTTAACTTTCCCCAAAATGCTTTTGAAAATTTCTATTTTATAATAAAAAAAATTGATACTTTCAATTTTTTCCTAAAAATATATTTTTTTAACACTTTTTTATTTTTAAGGGAAATTGATACTTTCAATTCTCTCCCAAAATGCTTTTGAAAAATTTTTATTTTAGAAATTTTATTTTTAAGAAAAATTGATACTTTCAACTTTTTCTCAAAAATATCTTTTGAAAACTTTTATTTTAGAAATTTTATTTTTTAGAAAAATTGTTACTTTCAATTTTTCCCTAAAAATATTTTTTTGAGAGTTTTATTTTAGAAATTTCATTAAAAAGAAAAATAAATTAAAATTAAAATTAAAAAAAAATTAAGAATACCTAATAATTCTAATTTAGAAATAATAATAATAATAAAATAAATAAAATAAAATAATTAATAAATGAAAGAAAAAAAATACCTTAACGCGTGTCGGCTCAGTGGTTGAAATTGGCTCGGCTCTAGAAAGAAAAATGGCTCGAAAATGTTGCTTGGCTCTAGGGGTCGGTTAGCACTCGGGTCAGACGCGGGTCAAAAACAAGCTGGTGCTCGGGTTGGGTTAGATCTTGGCAAAACGTGCGGATCTTGTTTAAGCTTTAACGCAAAACAACGTCGTTTAACTTGCGTATAAAAGAAATTTTTCTTCTTTCCTTATATGTTTCCCCCATGCTTTCTCTCTCTTCTCTTCTCCTTCTCCCTCTAGGTGATTTTTGGTTGTCATTTTTGGTTGAATATCGCCAGAAAAGTCTTCAGTTTCTGGGTATATCATTGAAAAATGGGTTTTCTCGTTGGACGATCATCGAAAAACTTGAATTTTTGTCAAAAAATTCACCGGATTCTGGAAATTTTTTAAAAATTTCCAGAAAAATATAGCCAAAAATTCAAAAAAAATTTTCTAAAATTCCTAAAATTGCTAAACACTATTTTCTTACTTTTGTTTTCTCCTTTTTTCTTTTTGTCCCCTATTCTGTGTGATCTATGGACCTATTTATAGGGATTGATCAGAAGAGATTTTGATCAATCCTAATTTCTTCTGGGATTTGGATTCAATCTTTGAATCCAATCCCATCTCTGCCAACCCCCAAATTCACGGCAGAATAAATTTTAATTTTTTTCTGATCCTAATCTCGTCGAAAATTGATAAAAAAAAAAGATAAAGTAAAAAAAAAGATAAAAAAAATATTAATAGATAAATAAGAAATAAATAAATATATTAATAGATAAATAATAAAAAATATTAACAGATAAATAATAAAAAATATATTAATAATAATAAATAAAAATAAAAATAAAAATACTAATGAGCTTACCCATTTGGACCAAACCCAATTGATCCGGGCCTGGATCAAATTGGGTGTCTACAACTGTCCCTCTTTGCACATTTTATGTGAAACAAGAATTGTGCAAAGACGTAGACACCCATTCAAGACTCAACTCGACACTTTCTTTTATTTTTTTTGTTAAAATTTTGATCAAAGCTCCTATAAGTAGAAGTTCAACGATTTTGAGTAAAATAAACAAAGCTCCTCTAATCAAAGGCTCACCGACTTTGAAAAAATAAATAAAGCTTCTCTAAGCAGAGGCTCACCGACTTTGACAAAATAAACAAAGCTCCTCTAAGCAGAGGCTTAGCGACTTTGAAAAAATAAATAAAACTCTTCTAAGCAGAGGCTCAACAACTTTTGAAAAATAAACAAAGCTTCTCTAAATAGAGGCTCAATGACTTTTGGAAAGTAAATTGCTCCTTTCAACATAAGCTCCACAACTTTTAAAGAAATAAACAAAGCTCCTCTAAGCAAAGGCAACCATAACTTTCTGAAAGTAAATTGCTCTTGTAAGAAGAGGCAACACAACTTTTGAAAGTAAATTGCTCCTTGACAATCATGTCTAGAGGAGTCAAAGATCATGTTTGAAGGAATTTCAAGAGATTATGCCCAAAAGTCTTACAAATCGATCCTGATACCAAGAGATATCCTTTTCCAAGGATTAGAAACTTACCTCATAAGCTTTTTCTCAAACAAAAATTGAAAAATCAAAAGTCTTCACATCTGTCTTCTTCATGTAAGATCCTAGAGTATCCCTGCTTCTTGAATTTATGCACTATATTTTCTTAAATGTAGTATATGCTATGCGTGCAAAATTCAATGCATACTATGCAAATACTGGTTAATTAATTCCTATTCAATTGTGGTACTCAAGTTTCTCAAACTCTTTTCTTGGACTTTGAACCCTTTATTCTTCAAAGACCAAATCAGCATAGCTCTCAATCATTTTTCATTAAATTCTCACATTTTTTTGTTAGAAATCCCTTTTCAAATTCAATGTCCTTATCAGGAACTAAATATCTCAAATTTGCCTTTATCACTCTCGACTTTTTAAAAGTACTA